TATAATAAAGAGAGATCCGCCAGGAAGCAACAATGGGCAAAAAAAAAACAAAGTGACAGGTAATGTGTTGTAGATGGTCATCGAAAAAATGAAGAAGGATTTTAGTTACTCACTGTAGTTGCAGTTTTTCTTTTTGAAAAGGAAGAGCCAGCGAGTCTGGATGTGAGGAGTCCTCGCAGGATCGGCAGCAGCAATCTGGGTCGATCGAAGAACTTCTCAATGGAAGGGTAGACGGAATCAACCCGGAGCGGCCCATAACTTCGATACCGAACGCGAGAACTCCGCACTAGGTTTCTTTACACGATCGGACAGCACTACGTGCTGTATAGGTCTCTGACTATAACAATGATGATAACGTGCTCTCGCGAAGGGCTTTTATATATTGTGCATGAGTATAATATATAAAAGCTCTATCGTAAGTTACGTGTTGCCCTGAGATTATTTCTATGTTATCCCTATCATGGACAGATTCTCTTTCTAAAGTATACGCGTTTTTATCATTATAAATGAATCCTTGTTCAATAGTGTAAATTTGTCCTGCTTTTAAATTTAAGTCTTTATATCTGGCGTAGCCTCTTGTACGGCATAATCTATTTTCGCCATTTTTTACGTTAGAATTATTTTTAGAGCTATTTTGAGCTATTGAATTATTTTTATTCGCATATCTAATTATCGCGTTTTATTGTCGTACTCTCGGTACCTGTTAATTGTATTTATCTTTGAAGTTTGAGCTGTTTCATGCTGTTGTTTGATTTTTCGATTCAGACTATCGCTATACACGATTTTTTCCTTAAGCCCATTGTTTCGAGAATTTTTTACTCTAAGCTCTTGTATAGGAAAATTATGCTGATCGTATTTGTAAATTTTTTTATTTCTTTTATCCCTATCAGGATCTCTTATAACTCTACGCTTTGCGTTTAAATTATTATTAGGAATTCTGTTTGAATCCTTCTTTAGCAAATTTATTTTCGTTTCGTTAATCTCCTTAATAGAACTGTTTTTATTTTTGTTGCGTTGCATTTACATTTTGCGTTTAAAATTTTTCCGAGCTTCATTTTATATTTTAAAAAACTGTTTACGTTTTAACATTTCTTTTTCGCGTTTTTCCGCGTTTTCTGAGCTATCTTCTCCCTATCGCATTCGTTTTGAACTTGTAACGTTTTGCTCTTTTTATCATTAAGATAATCAATTTTTTCCTGAACTGCGCTTAGTTTCTTTTTTAACTCTAATTTGAATTGAATCGATTTTCTCGCGTCTGGCAATTGCTCAGTTTTTATTTGCGTTTCGACTCCTTTAGCTACACTTCGGACTCGCGGAGAAAAATCTTCCGAATAACTGGTCGGTTTTTTAAGATCAACTCGCGGCCTATTAACTTCGCTAATTTTCGTAGAATAGTTATGTTCTATCCTTAGGCGTTTACTTGCATTTTGTGCGTTTATATTATTATTTATCGCTTTACGCCTTAAATTATCTGACGTTTCTTTTCTCATCGCGCTTTTGTTCGTTACAGGAATTGTTTTAAGTTTCACGTCGTTAGACTTATTTTCAATTACCTCGGAATTATTTGTACCTATTCTTACGACATCGCTATACCTAAGCGTATGATCATTTTTGGCGTTTGTGTTTGTATACACTGTTTTTCGCATCATGTTTAGTGCGTTTTCAGAATCGACGATATTCCAATCTGTCAACTCCTCTTCTACCGATTTTTTAGCTAGCAGCCTATTGTTACGTGCGGTTTCTGAGTTTCGCGGCGGATAAGTATTACGCGCCGTTGCCTCTGTCGGCTGCCTATTAGCATTGAACGCAGCTACCTTTTTTATTGCGCCTCGGTTCGGTACATTACGTGTTACTGGCTTATTGCCCGTTGTCTCCGATATCCGATTTTTATACGCGACCTCTCTGTTTGAGATTGTCTTAATCGTTTGCGTATCAACATTCTGTAATCCATTTGCAGGTATTTCCGCTATTGGAACGTTTCCAGCTCTCGTAATACGAGGATTATAATTACTCTGACTTCTATAAGTCTGAAAACCTCTTTGTGAATTATACTGAGTATTATATTGTGAATTAAAGTTTCGCACAGGCTCTGCTATTATTTTATTTATCGGCGGAAAATTATATCTTTGACTCGCGTTATTTATTCGCGGTGTGACGTTACTTCGATTTACCGTAAACCTATTATTGTCCGGTTTTTGAATGTTTTCGAATTTCTTATCTTCGAACTTACGCGTCGCATACTTTCTTTCGCTGTCGATCGAGTTTAAGAGTTTAATTAAATCATCAATAGTTGTAACCGTCGTAAGTCTAATTTCCCTACTAATATCTGTTCCGAAATGTCTTTTAATGACCCTAATAATTTCTGTGTCGGTCATGGGCGGTTCTAATGTCTTTGCGTCAATAGCTAATGATTGCGCGTAGTCAGCCATCGTTAATTCTTTAGACGGTCTGAACTTATTCATATAGAGTTTTTCTCTGAACCTAGCTTGTATATCTTCATCCCAGTACTTGTCTAGAAATCGATCCTTCGCGTCTAAGTACGACGTTAGCTCTCTGAGATTGAACCAAGTATTGCCCTTAAGTTTCTTTTCAAAATAATAAAGTTTGTCAGGGTCTTCGACGTTTTCGTATGATGTTATGCGCTCGAATTTATTTATGAATCTCACGGAATTCTGTTTTTCCGGATCTCCCGAAAATTCTAATTCTGAGAAAGGATTTTTAAGAAAACCTCCTCTAGGTAACCTAATCGTAGGTTCCTGTGTGTTGCTATTATCGGTGCGAGCTACCGACGTGATGATTTGCGATCCTAGAGCTTGTGCACTCGTTTGCGATCTCGCCAGGTTTACGCCGCGTGCTTCAACACAACAAAGCGTATCACGATCATTTAATCGTGACTTTAATTGCTCTATTTTATCAAGCATTATTTTTAATAAGTCCGTTTGATTATTAATTTCCGTGTTACTAGCATTCGCGCGTTTGTCACCTTCGTGAGGTGTCAAGCTATTAGTTGCATGCATCGTTTCTGCGATTGGAGTTCTGAAAAGCTGTGTGCCCGTTGGAACATTTATTAAATCGTTATCAGTTAACATCATATTCGGTACCCGCTCGCGTTCGTTTCAGCGTGGTTCCCGTTTTCTTACCCATTTTTAGGTTTTATTCGGTTTTGGTATTTTTCAAATTAAATCAATTGCGTGGATTACCCTTATTAGCGCTTTATTAATCGGATGTCTTTGTCCGAGCTCTGTATGTGTGCGATTTTATGTTTCTGAGTTTTCTTGAATTCGCAAATTTTTTCAAAGTTACTTTGTGCTTAAAAAGTTTTGTGTAGGGCTTCCGCTGTGGCCTAGCCGGTCGTGAATTTCTTCTGAGCTATTATGAATTCAAAATATTATTATTACGCGAAAATTTTATAAGTTATTTATCGTTTTTAAATTTTTGTGTAGGGCTCCCGCTATGGCCTAGCCGGTCGAAATTTTTTTAGGCCTTATTCTATATTTCATTATTTTTTAAAGTTAATTTTAATTTTTTCATGCAATTTTTCGGCTTTAAGTTATGTGGTTTATTCACTCGCGTTGTTTAAATATCGTTTTGACGCGTGCTGAGCTGTTTGTGATTTATTTTGTGAATTATGCGCTTTACACGCAATTTAAAGATTGTTTATCGCGGCTTACGTTTGCACGGATTTATTCTTAACGATTGGTCACTCACGTATTTTTTATATTAATTGTATTAATTATTGCGAGTTACGTTTGCACGATTTAAGAACCTTGTTTTTGTGCACTCGCGGTTTTATCACTCGCGTTTGTAACATACACACCGACCTTCGCGGTTTCCATGTCTCGGAAAATTTAAGTTTCGCTCGTCTATAATTTTTGAATCGACGTTTCGCGCGTTTAAGTTCAACAGGAATATTTATTACGCGCGTCCTGTCACGGTCGCCATTTCTCAGCTAATTTTAAGTTCAATGGCTTTCGTGAAAGTTAAAATTGTCCTTCTAATCTTTATAAAAGATTTGTTTTAGAAAAGACTATGCTGCTGTTCTTTAGGATTTATGGTGTGACTTATGACCGTTCGGACTGAATTGTTTGTTCGTCACCGAGATGCCTCCCTCTAACTACTGTGTCTACTCAATGTGTGTTAATCTGTTAAAATTGCTTACTACTTGATGTAGTTGGTAGTTTTATTGGTCGCCACTTCGTTTAACCTGTCCAACGAAGAAGGTAAGCCTCTCCCTTTGCCAGCGGTGGACGTCCTCTGCAAGCAGCGTCTCTGGATCGGCTCTCACCCTGTGGAAGCTTGGCTGGGTATTTCGCGATGAATTCACAAACACACAACGTTTAATGAAATATATTTAATAATGAAATCAATTGTACATAGTTAACGCGCACTCGGAACACAATTTCGACGTGACGCACTTTCCGGTCGCTATTTCTTAAAAAATTAGATAAATAGAGGAATAAAATGTACATGGGATTTAATATAATTAAATAATCTAACTGATTAACGTAGTAACGTGCGTCCGTGGAGTTCCTTTAACGATTCACAATCTTGATGTAACAACCGTTACGCGACACGGTAAGCGTGAGCGTCCTACCGCAATGGAGGCTCAAAAGCAACTGGCGACTTCACCAATTATGTGTTTATTTTTGTTATGAGGAAACTAATGATTCACCCTAATTCTTCCCTTTATGACGAATTGTATTTAATTGCTTTGATTACAAACTTATGTGTCTTCAACCTGCTTGACAAATGTATTTGTACTACTCAATTACGCTTCTTCTTAGTCCATTCGCCTGCCGCTGCAGCGCTGCTAATTACGACATGTTGATAAGAAAGGTTACAAAATCTAGTACACAGAGGCGCAAACTTGAATGAGATAAACATGCTCATGGCGAACTAAAATAAGAAATAAAAATAAATTCTCCAAAATGCGTTATCTAACATGCCGGCCGCCTTGGAAAAGCCTAACTTTACAATTTTAACATATGAAATATAACAAATTAATCATTGCTTGGCATTATACAAAGTCTGTTGGTGGTTCTCTTAAAAATTCCTCGAGATGTCTTGACGGTGACTGCTCTGATGACTCCATCGGTGCCCGGGTGAACCTCTTGAACTCGTCCGCAGGGCCAACACAATGGAGGAGTATTGTCTTCGCGCAAGATGACTAAATTCCCCTTGTTGATAGAAGTTCCTTTCCTTTGCCATTTATTGCGTTGCTGAAGTTGGTTTAAATAATCCTTAGACCACCTGTTCCAGAAATGTTGTTTTATCTGTTCGGTTCTTTGCCATCTGCTTAGTCGATTCTCCTTAACGTTAATCAAAGTCGGTTCTGGTACAGTGATAAGAGTGTCTCCAATTAAGAAATGCCCAGGAGAAAGAAAGGATAAATCGTTTAGATAATTTGATAAGATTGTTAGAGGACTGGAATTTAAAATGGATTCAATTTGATTTGTCAGAGTTTGCATCTCGTCCATTGTAAGCAAAGAGGTGCCTGTAACTCGTCTAAAGTGGGATTTGGAGGACTTTACAGCAGCTTCCCAGATTCCTCCAAAATTCGGTGCCCTTGGGGGAATAAAGTGCCAGTTTATGCCTTCTTCTGCAGCTACTTGTGCTAATCCTTCGTGGTGGTCTGACTTCATAAATTCCGCAAGTAGCCTCTTCAACTCCTTATTTGCACTAGTGAATGTTGTGGCATTATCAGAAAATATGTTAGATAGTTTTCCTCTTCGAGCTATGAATCGCTTGAGGGTGTTCAAAAATCCTTCGGTGGTTAGATCAAAAGCAATCTCCAAATGAACAGCCTTCACTACAAAGCACACGAAAACTACAACATATGAATTTATAACTCTGGTGTTGCGTCTCTTTGATTCGCGAATCTTGAAAGGACCGCAGAAGTCGATTCCAACGTTTGAAAATGGTCATGAAGGTTGAACGCGTTGTTCAGGCAAATTACCCATCAAAGGTTGAATTGATTCAGGAAATATTCGGAAACACCTCACACATTTATGGATTATTTGACGAATGGTACTACGACCATTCAATAGCCAAAATTTCTGACGAATGGATGCCAAGGTTATTTGTATTCCGGCGTGAAACAATTTGATGTGTTCTCGTTCAATCAGCAAACGGGTGAACGGATGTTTGAAAGGCAATACTAATTGATGTTTGGCTGAATATGGTAGCTTAGAATTTTGAAGTCTCCCTCCAACACGAATGAACCCACCTTCATCTAAAAACGGGTTGAGTGATCGAAGTTTACTGTCTGTTGATAATGGCTTGTCATGTTGCAGACTCTTTAATTCCTGGGCGAATGCTGTTGCCTGAACATTTTTAACTAAACAAAGTGTTGCTGCATTCAATTCAGTCGCTTTCAGAAACCCATGTGCATCAGTCATTTGACCACATTTGTTGATGAAACGTAGGCAATATGCGATAACTCGTGTTAATTTAAAAAACAAATTTACTAAAGCGCTTACATGTTTCGGCTCATTTTCGAGCCTTCTTCAGAGATAACTAATAAATTCACATACATAGAATATAACAATTATTAACTAGTCATGGTGATCTTCCTCACCTCGAGAGTATAAATGCCAGAATTAAATCCAGATAAGAATGCAGTAAAAAAGAAAAAAGGGGGAAAGAAATTTTGAAATTCTCGAAATAA